ACTGCAAAATATAAAATGCTCTAACATTAATACTTTGAGTTTTAATTTCAGATTCAAATAACAATAAATGTATAGCGTAATTCTCCTTTGGGTGATATTACGTTATACCATCATAATAAATATAATGATGCTAATTTAATTTCACTTAATTGGTAATTAAACATACTCTAATCAGACATGTATGATATCTTTGGATATACAAAACACATCCGACCAAGTAAATCAATTCACCACGATCATGTTCAAGATTAATAAAATTAACTGATCAACCTTTGGGCGATCCATAATAATTTAATAATCTTTGAACGTCAATATACTCTTGACTCCAATAATAAAGTCATTTTCATTTACAAGCATCAAACTATCAAGAGTAATTGATAAATAAATTATGTAATTTAGTGTTCGAAATACCATAATGTTTGGCCACTTTGGTGACTAACAAACAACATTAATCGAACGTCAATTACATAAACAAATCACGAAGATAGGTAATTAAACTATGACTTAATTTAATCCATAATTCAAAGTCCAATACCATAATTAGCCATTCATATATCACCATCTTTAATCAATACATAATTAGTGGACTTATAAAACATACTGCTGTAAATTATAATTGGGCACTAAATGATATTCTGCGCTAAATGATGCAGAAATTTTCAAACCAAAGTTAAATAATAAACATCAAATAGGTTTTGAAGTGAATGGTGGTCCACAGAACTTGAGTAAATTCCAATTATGTAGTCTATAGTTAAATTAGAAAAACTCATCCACTAAGAAATGCACCCAGATTATACACAGATTGGACAGCTAATGGAATTTGTGATTGTGAAACCCAAGAAATCAACCTTTTCTTCAACCAATCACAATACAATATATATGGCAGTCTGATGTACTCTCTACGGGCAGTTCCAACCATTAATTTAACCATCCTTCTGTAATTACTGCATACAATTTATATGCACACAATTCTGTCATTCCAGAGCCTTTTGGAATAAACAATTGAAACAAAGCCAATTTAATACAGATAGTGGTGTGTACCAGATCCATTCCGACACGCATCAAATTCATGCTCTTTCCGACCACTTACAAATGAAAAACTAGAATTTAATTAACGCAATGAATGGCCATGTGCATATTAACAGTAATTAATTTCAACAAAAATCCCTAATAGCATATTTAATTCTGGTAAAATAGACAGTAAGGATCTTGAATCTGATTTCATATTTCATTCATAAATTTATAATAAAAATTAAAGATCGATAAGCAGAAAATCATAATCTTTAAAGGAAAATCATAAATTCCATAACCAGGCTCTGATACCACATGTAAGACATTAAACCCTAATGCCAAGATCTTTGGAATTCATGATTTTCACATATGAATTTAATTGATCAAGAAAACATACCTTGATCCATGGCAATAATTGAGAATTTTAGATCTGCAAAATAATAAACTGTTAAAATTAATGAAACCGTTCTCTCACTTTTCCTCTCTTTTATTGAATGAATTAATTGATGGATTTCATTCACATTTATAGGCAGAGAGAGGCAGTCTCATTTTGTGCCATAAAACTCTCAACTTTCTATCAAAGTAGACAATTATAAAACTACAATTTCTCAATTGGGCCAATAGGATTTTAATAATATTAATCACCTTAAATTAATTCTTTAATATTACATGGGCCACAAATAATTGGTTTTACAATTTACCCATGCCGGAAGCTTCGGCACTCCCAACCTCTGCAACAACTCATTGCAGAAATTGTTACAGTTTTTCGCCAGTAGATCGTACTTATTTCCCAGCCACTCCTGGCTAAGTTCTTTTAGGATCTGACTCACCTTGGCAGCGGAGCAATTTGTTCTTCCGAGAACTATACTTTCACGGTATGTATACATCAGGTTTTTGCGGGCGGGACAGCTGTAAACACCTGAGCCTTCATCGCACTGCCCGTATCCCCATTCCTCGTCCCCATAAACCTGGACGGCAGTGTGAAAGACTCCGCCAATAGGGATGGCCTGTTTACAGACGTTGTTGAGTTGGACGAGGGCGAAATTTAGGTTTTCATAGCCGGAATTATTATTTGTAACGTCGTAAACGTGAAGGATCACTTCTGCCATCTTAATTAAGTTCAAAACTCTCTCTCTGTGTGACAGCTAGTCTTTCAAGCGGAGTATAAAGCTTGAAGCGCTAGCTGGTCTTGGGTAGGGTATTTATGGTACCAAGTTACAATGAACGAAAATGGTTGATATGCAACTTTATTGAACTCTCACAATAGGAGGGGTCCACCTTTTTCTTGGAGTTTTTAATGCAAACGGGTCCCGCACGCATTGTGAGTGTAGGTTAATGTTTCTGTCATGCATTTTCAGTCTACTTAGATTAATTCCTATGGTACTCCAATCGTGGGAAAGGAAAAGTGAAGTGTGAAAAGCCAAAGCAAGGAAATAACACAACATTTTCTTTCGTCTATCGTGGATCTTACATGTTGAAAATTCATTGATGTGTGTATTTGTTAATAAATAATTATTAATATTTTTAATACAGTTTTTGTTGGGTTTCATTATAAGTTGTTCAAATTAAAATGCATTAGAGTGGGTAGTAATTGCAAGTCTTTTGAAATGCGATTTTAATGTTTGACTTTGATTTTAAATTATAATAACATTATAATTTTTGGCTAACAAAGTTATTAATTATTATTCATGGTGTAGATAGGTATGAACCTCAATGGGGATGGAGTTTTAGCCTTTTCCCTTGTCTACTTGTTAAAATTATGGATGCGATACCATCTATCCACATTATTCTAAGTTCATGCATTATGAGGTGACCTATTAAATTTAATGCATGTTGGGCCTGACTTTTACTCTATACAGAAGACTTTAGTCATCCTGACTTTAAGGGCCGTGAGAAGTTTTTTATTCCCTTAATTCATACCGTGAAGATAAGCTTAATTTCATTTTTGTCTTGTCTCAAATTGTATTCTAAAAAGCATAAAACGTGACGAGATGTATAGTCTATGCTTCGGGCTAGGTGAGACGTAAAAAATTATTTTAAATTTTTAAATCAATCTAAAAATCATTGAATAACTAAAAGAAAACAGCGAAAAAAAACACCCCTAGATGGGGCGAAATAGAAAAGGCAAGAATTAATTAAAAATATATATATAAAAAGCTCAAAAAAGCATGAGGCAGGCATTTTGTGCCTCCTTCGCGCCTAGACCTAGAAGTCACATTTTAGAAGAAATGTCCCAAATCATAGATGACTTTTCTTATTGAAAGTATAGATATTAGTTTTCAAATAAAATTGAACATTAACCTAGAAAAAAGTAAAAAGGTCGAAAGGTTCAACCGTAGTCGAACTGGAGTCAAACCAGTTGAATGAATAATTAAATACATTTACAATAAAACTTTACAAATATATATAATTAAGTTGATGTCTAACAAGCAGCTCAGCTATTCTAAATTAATTGTGTAATTAGCAAATATATTATTTTATAATTTGGTATAGTAATTAATTCATTTATTCTTAATTTACCAAGTAAAAAATATTAATAAAAGAAAAGAAAAAAGGGAAAAATGAAAGTGATAAACACGAAAGTGAATCTTCATTTGTAATGGGCGACAACCTCAAGAAGAAAGTATTTGTCCAAAGCCTCAATTTATCTCTTTCACTTACTTTATCAGAATTAGGGTAAACAGATGCAAGTGCCGCCGATGTGAAGGAGAAAAATGTTTTCAACGATTAAAAGGGAAAAAAAATAGAAAGAAGAAAAGAAAAAATAAGGAAAACATAAGCAATTACTACAATTCTAGTATAGCAAAAGGTTAAGTAAGTTTCATATTTGGAAAAAAGCCTTAGAGCTTGAAGAATGATATAGCTATTTTTCATTCATTCTTCCTTCTTTTTTTATTTTTATTTTTATTTTATTTTTTTAAATCTAACCAGTGGACTCGAGTAAACCTCATCTGGGACAACTGATTCAAGGATTAATCGTCGATTTAATGGGTTTGACACCAATTTATAAAGAAGAGGTTTTCAATGTCTAACCAAACTAAATTTCGGGCAGATTCTCAATTATTCCAGTTAAACCAGCCAGTTCGATCTGGTTTTTATAACATTGCTTAATTCTAAGCTCTATGCAGGGTTTCCTATTTTTTCTATTTGTGTGCTATTATCGAAGATAAGGGAGTGAGGAATACCGAATTGACAAATGATATTCTTCAAAATGAACTTAAAGGTTTTAGCTAAGTGCTATAAAATTGTTGGTTATCCAAAAGATATGAAGTTTGAAAATGAAACACAAGTAGAAGCTCCAAAAAACATGGCTTCAGGCACGTATTTTCCATTTCTAAAATCTCGATATTCGTTGCTATTACTCTTTATCAACGGAATATCTGCAACCGCAAATCCATTGCTGATTTGAGGGTCCCCAATAGTTACCAACAGATCCTGCCGTATGTAAAGAGTAAACATTTTACTAACGAATTTTCTATTGGTCCGTTGTTAAAATGTGAATCTTTTACCAACGAAATTTTCGAAGGTAAAAATCTTAACCAATACCAACCAACTTTCCGTTAGAAAATGTCAGTCATTACAATTGGTGAAAATCAATGTTGTAAATAGTCGCATAGGTGCGAGGCATGGTAAAAAAAAAAATTATTTATTTTTTATTATTGTTATTATTATTTATTTAATAATTCTAATTTTTTTAACTTTTGGCCAACTGAATTGAAGGGCTAAAATATTGTTTAACCACTTATTGGATCACAAATTAATTTGTAGAAGACAATTCTAAAGACTTTGTTGTGAACTTTCGATGTGGGATAAGTGAATTAGTTTTACCAACAGATAATCCGTTTCAAATTACTAACGGAATATCCGTATATGAAAAATCTAAATGTTAAACGATTACATAAGGCACGAAATTTTCATTGGTAAAGAGATATCATCGTTACCAACGAAAAATTCGTTACTAATTATTATAGCTGAAAGTGAATAACTTTTACCAACGGATAATCTGTTTCTAATTATCAACGAATTGTATCCGTTGATAATTTTTCGTAGATGAAAAACTATTTTTTAGTAGGATCCTACAACGATAGAACCTCTACATCTGGATGAGGACTCTCTAGTGGTTTTTTTCCACACAATCTTTTGTTAAGATTTGTAGTCTTATTTATTGAGCAATTCAAGGAACTATTATCATCTTTTACAATTAATAGTAGAAAACTTGTTTAGCTCATCATAACCTTTTACGTGTATCAACTTCATTTTAGATGAATTTTTGAAGAAAACTAGAAATACAAAAGATTAAGGTAATTTGAGTATGGGGGTGTATCTAATTTTGTCATATTTTTAAGTAAAGTGTATTCAATTAGAACTTTTAAAGACTTTTTAAAGTGGGTGACTTCCATAGGATTTGTGAACTTTTAAGTGATTTCTATAAATTTAGTAAGAATTAGTAAAAGTTTCCCATGGATTTCTATAGACTTCTACTAGAGACTTTTAAAGACTTTTATTTTTTAAAAAAAATATTAAACATATATAATGTAATTTATTAAACAACTTCTTTTATATATATAGTATTTTAGTAACGATCAACAAAAAAAAAATAATAATAAATATCGAACATTCCCAACATCATTCTACATATCAGCTGCTATAGAAGCCCACCATACATTAGCATTCTCTCTTTCTTGTTCTTGACTTTCAAAAAATGGTCCAAATTCTTCCCCCTCATTAATCGAAGAAGATGAAGAATCCTTATTATCGGGTCCAATTGGAAATTCATCGGAAAGGCACTCTCTACGAAGAAAATTGTGTAATCATACACAAGCTAATACGAGTGGAAATGGAGGAATTATTTTGAAAATTATGAATCTTGATTTAAATATACTAAATATCCTCTCAACTATGTTCCTCAAGGAAGCCTGAAGAAAATTAAACAACTTTTTTATATTTTAAGGGTCACGATCTTGACCAAAAAAATATTGAAGATGATAACGGACACCTCGAAGAGGTGTTAAAAATTGACATCGATTTGGAAATCCACAGTATCCCAAAAAATATTTATCTGAACATAAAATACTTTTAAAATTAACGAGTAATTATGATCCAAAAAGATAAAAGAAAAGAAATGAAATAATAAATTTATACCTTGTGGCACTTTAATTCCATTTATTGTTGTTAAAGCATCACTCAACACCTTAGAATTATGTACTATTCCCTCCCAACCACTAATCACATATATAAATTCCAAATCAAAGTTACAAGAAGCCAAAATATTTTGAAAAATTGTCCTATGAATATTTTTATAACTCCTTGTATCACATTCAGTAACCATTGTTGGAATATGTGTATCATGAATAGCTCCAATACAATCATAAAATAATAAAACAATACAAAGAAATCATGAGAACACTAGTGATAACATAAAAGAAAAATTATAATAAATGTTCTTTCATTACTTACTTTAAAGTAAGGGTAAAATCACGTACCTTCCCTTATTTTTTCTAGCACAATGAATCCTAGTTTTACCATCATATCAACCGCAAATTTGTTTAACTTCTGTAAAATCTTGTTGAAACTTTGGCTAGCAATGAAATATGATTGACGAAATTTTTTACGAATCAAGCAATATCAAGTATTTTGACTAACAATGAGTAGGAACATTCCAAGCATTTCTTCAATTCAAATATACGTAGTATCCTGTAAGGGTGTTTTTTCTCTAATCATATTGCTTAATTTTAGAAATATATCCAAATACATTCTATAAGCTTGTCGAAAGTTTTTTGGACCCTCCTTTAATATTTTATGTATATAGTCGTATTCATATCTAATTTTTGATCGTCTAGTTAGTTAACTGTAATTTGTAATAAAAATTAAATACACTGACAAAGAAAATGTACATCTAGATTTGTTTCTTTTATTGGTCATTTCTCTCTCTTTTCTCCTGCTAAGAAAAATGTTCTACATGAGTTGTATTAGGTAACAGATTCACTGAGTATTTGTTATTTATTTTAATGCTTCCCCCATTTTGCTCCAAACATTTTAACCCAATGTAGTAGCACAATAGCATTTAGCTAGGACATCTTGCCTGTAGATCTCAAGAAAATGCTAACATTTTTCCTTGACGCTCAACACACTAACATTACCTTAAAGAAATACAATGCACGGGCATCCAACTAGTGCATTTTAACAGAGACATCACTAAAAGTGGTCAAATGGTGAATATAATACTCAAAACGACAAATAAAAAAGG